AGCTACCTCAGAGACACCAAAAAAGCAAACTATAAATATATAATGCACTTAATTTATTATACATAAGTTATCCTATTACATACATTTATCATCAGCTTGTTTCTCCGCCTCCCAAACAGGTAAGCAGAAATACACATTGGAACTCAAAACATTACAAAATTTAACACTTTGCCCATTTGCTGCGGAAACACTGCCTCTGTCAGAACGATGACCACGTGCCACCAAAATAAAGGGCAGTCTTAGCATCCCCACTGAAGGAGTAAGACATTTCAATGAAGAGTTCAATTCTGTAGCAATGACTCTCTGAATAGAAGGGGAGGGGAGGAGGGAAAAAAAAAAAGGGGGGGGAGGAAGAGAGGACTGCTAATGAGGTCTCCTCCACAACCAATTCTTGTCACAACTTGATCATGACCAAGTTTGAAGATACCAGCAGAAATCACAAGGTTAGAAATTACATAGCAGACTAAAATTGGGTAACCTGATTACATTAAAAGAGTGACAAGACAACAAAAGATTTAATGAAATGTGAAGTTCGGCAAAAAGGGGGAAAAACCTTTCAAATATACACGCTTAAAAATGAGTATAAAGGAAGAAAGAACCACATTCATAGGATTCCAGCTCTCATCTTTTCAATTTTGTCCAAGTATTATTATCCTACACAGCTGAGCACAAATTTTAATCCTGAACACACTGCAGGGAACACTGAACAGCAGAGACACATGAAGAGAGCAGCTAGCGAGACCGGAACCTGGACAATCGCTTCAGGGTTCCCACCAGATACTCTGTCCCCATCCAACAGCTGCCCCACCCAAATGTCCTTACAAATGTCCAGATAGTGAAAGGAATAAACCATTTAAACCTCTCGATACAAAACAAAAAAAAAAAAAAAAAAAAAGCCTCTGCAACCACACTCTTTGTTACAAGCTGTTTGAACACAAACATAATGCAGTATCTTTATTTTAAGCTCAAGTTTGCCATATTTTTCCTCCTTTAAAGACAAATATACAGGATAAAATTTCACACCTTCACAGGTGAGAGACAGTAAGAACAGAATTGCTTGTTACTATCACAATACAACCATACATTTCACTATAATGAAAATATGGTCCTAGATCCAGCTGCAAAATATTACCCCTTTCTTATACTGAATGACTCCACCCATATGTTGCAAACATAACAGGTTTTCAGCACCGTAATCACCTTCTAAACTGTTTTTTAAGACTTCAAAACAAATCAGCTCTACAGACAAAAAAAAAAAAAAAAAAAAAAAAAGCACCCAGAAGTTGCAGTAACAAATACATTCTCTTTTAGGCTGTAAGAATACACAGAATTCAACTGAATTGACTGAACTTTCACAAATCCCAACAGCTGGATCTGAAGCCAGTGCAAAACGGCAAAGCCAAATCTGCATTTACTAAAGCCTTGAGACAGCTAATCATTACTCTCAAAGTTTTTGCAGGTAAAATTCATAACTTACAATAGTCAGCAGGAGACTCAAAAATTAACTGCCCAATCCTACTAACTTTACAGATAGCAATACAAAATTCTTGTATTCTCTGCCTGAATACAGTTTTGACAAGGCATACAGCCTCTCTGCTGAATAACAGATACATCTGTCACTTTAAAAACTGCATGACAAGTAACAAATACTCCTCTTTCAGAGCCCTTCACAGAGGATTTAATATTCCTTCAATTCTCTGCTTCCTCCTAAGATGATTTGCATCAAGTGTTATTTTTTTCGGTTCCTAAGTAACAGTATTCATATCTGAATTAATAAATATATAACTGGGTCTATAACACAAGAAAAAAAGTTAAAGGATTACCATCTTTCATCCTCACAGATCCAAAAATTGAATTGCCCCGCAAGATGTCGATTCACTCATCCCAAAAGCTAGTAGAATTTTGGTTTGTGTGCTAACATGGCAGCAGAAAATAATCTGGTGTTACGCACAGAATTTAAGGACAACTTGAAGGCATTCTCTTACCGACATCACTTCCTCTTCCTTAGAGCTGCAGCTTCTTGGGGGGGGGAGCAGGGAGGGAAAAACCAAAACAACCACCACCACCACCACCCCCCCCAAATCACCTCAGACTTGGCAGGTTTCAATTTCTAATGAGCCCTAGAAAAGGGAATCATTGCTGAGCTATAAACATTTGACCAGAGATCAAAGGGTTGAGTATTTGAAAAGGAAAAAAACACCACAAAAAGCCTTTACAGACAAAAAGCAGAGGGTTTCACAAAACTCAGTAATGTCTGTTCCAAAGGCATGGAATATTTCTTCAGCCTCACCTGCTTTTGCAAACATACTGTTATGTACATTAGAAAGAAAAGTTTCACTGCTTGCACAGGTTTCATATTATGAGATGCACATGAAAAATGTTAGATTGAGTCTTTTAATGAGCTGTTAGAAAGCCCTCAGATGTTACAAGCAGCGCATACAGGAAAAGCCCAAACTGACTAAGACTGAGCAGATAAAACCTATCATTTGCCAAACTCAGATGTTTTGACATGCTGTCCATGTCAAAATTTGCAAGCATTAAAATTATCATGAGCTCCTCCTAATGAACTTCTTTTAAATGTAACCATGAGGCACTCTACTTGATTGATTTTTCTAAAATAATACTGTAAATTTCCAGTTTGATGCTTTCAAAACACTGAGGTATTTGTTTCGTTATTATGATGTTGTCAAGAGAAGGAAAGGATCCCTGTGGTGCTAAACAATATATATACTGACAAAGCACATTAAAAAAAGATTCTAAATACCTTCAAATCTATGCAAAAGATAACATGTAAAGCGATTTACTAGTAACAAGCAGTAAAAAAAGCGGACTAACAAGACAGATGAATTTATTATAATATAGGCAAAGTAGCTTTTTTTTTTTATGCTGGCAAATTAAACTGCACAGAAGACAGAAAAACTTCAAACCCAAATGCTAATCCAGTTCAAGAATTTGTTTCAAAATCACATACTATTTCATCTCCAAAGAGCCTCAGAAATACATGCCTGAAAAGAATAAACAACTGTGTAGGCTTTGATATATTCGGTTTGGTATTTTTTTAACAGGCATGAGTGATTAGATGGCATTTACTTTCTTCATTTAATATTTCTTGAGTCTATGTCTTGAGCCTGACAGCAGTAACAAATTTTGTCTAAAATTCTGAAATGCAGCCAGACCAATGAACTCAAAGAGACATGTAGTAAAAGTTCAAGTTGCGGCGTTTGATTATAATTTTTGTTGTTGTTGGGAGGGTTGGGGTTTTTTTTTCAAACCTGGAAGAAGTACCCTAACACTGGAGCATCTCATGTTAAAGCAACTTTTTGGTAGCAAGAAGCATTTACACTCGAATGTTTAAATCCCTAAGGAGCTTCCAAGAATAATGGAAGCCCACACGGGCGGATTCCTCAGAAGATACATTTGGTCACAGGCTGGAGCATTAAGACTATAATCCAGCATTCTTCATGCCAGCGTTGCCTTCGTCTTCACTGAAGACTTAGCAACTACCCTTCTGGAACTTCTGGAACCAACTTTGCTGGCAGGGAGCTGCTAGGCTAATACTGTCAGCGTGCCAAGACCCATCGCGGGGGGGATAAGGCTGATCCACCGTGGGAGGAGGAACAGGCTCGGCAGACAACTCCGCTGAAGGAGCCAAGAAATCCCTGCTGGCTGTCAGGGCTGCCTCGAAGGTCCTACCGACACAAGTGCAACCTGGGAAACGAACGCCCCGCTTGACAGCTCCCTCCGAGAGGCTCTAGCAACTTCTGCCCCACGCAGCCCTGCAGCGCGCCCGCCTCGGCCACCTCCGCTGCCCAGACGAGGAAGTTCCCGCGCCCCTGATCCGCGCCGCTCCCAGAAGGTTCCTGAAGAAAAAATCTAAGAAGGCTAATAGCTGAGGGTACATCTGCTTCTTTAACCAGGTCCACATCTTCTCCATTATCATATCGTTGCCGAAGCCACTCCACTGTCTCAGCATTCCCATTGACTTGAAAAAGTCCTTCTTGTTCCAGACCCCCTAAGTTAGAAAGAATTTGCAGAAATAAACTTTCAGATCTAGTCTGGACAAAAATATCAGGAGATACCGATAATCAGATATGCACAATTCACATACTGAGTGAAAGACCTTCTGGACAACAGTTTTGCAAGACTTCCAGCAGTCCTCCTCTCAGAAAACACAGTCTTATGCCCAGCTAACAATACAGTAATAAGGTAAATGTTAGCAGTACCTGAACCACACCATTTCCTATGAAGTACCCTACTGAGCTGACTGCATCAGTCCCAGCTAGAAAAGAGTGATAATCAAACATAACAGAAGGAATAAAGGAAGTGTGTATCAGCAAAAAAAGCAACCCAAACCATATCCAATTAAATATTAATAACTTAAGAAAACAAATACTCTTCAAAAACCACAATCTATTCTGTAAGGATAACAGATAAATATATTATTTAAAGTACAGCAAGATAATACATACCATGTTCCTCAATATAGTCCACAACATGGCGGACTATGAATGGAACCTCATTGTCTGGTTGCCCTTCTTGCTGCAGCTCATCAAGTGGAATTCCAAATATTTTGTTAGCAAGAACAGAGTTGCAGTTACTCAAGGAAGGGGAGGAGCTCTTCCTCATATCTTTTTGCAGCCAAAAATCAAAGCTGTCTTTTCTGTCAAATAAAGAGGAATTAAACCCAAAAATCACACTTCAGTGTACACTGTTGAACGTATTGATCTGTAACACAATGTACTTTAATTACTTAATGCAAATACTCTCCAGTCTCTCTCAATCAGCTCACTGATTTAATGAGAAGTTCTGTAATGACTCTAAATACAGCTAACTAGATAAATTACTATTACTGAGGGGTTCTGTTCAATCCTCAATAGAGGACTAATAAGAATATATATAGGAGCAAAGAAAACTCAGAAAAATCTAGTTACAACATTGT